AGTCATATTGGATCCACTATAATTTGAGGTTAATTGAATTGAACCCCCCCCACCCATTCTCCCAAAAAACAGGAAAAATCTGTTGTAGTGGAGGAAGAACTGTTACTGCAGAAGGAAATGTTGTATGATGTGGCTGTTTGCAGCTGGTTTCTGGACTAAAGGAGCACTGCTGCCCCCTTTTCACAGCGTCTTCCTCTTTGCTTAATTTCAATGTTTGTGATTGTGTGGTAATTAACGCCTCAGAGGACGATGCACTGCATTGCTGTGGCAGAAACAGATGGAGGGCAGCGAGTGTGCGGCTGTTTGGTAAATGGGGTCTGCGGAAGTGACCCAGGCATCGATGATGTCTGAGCCCTCATCATGTCCTGGACTTCACATTCTAATAATGACTAATGTGTTTGCCAACGTCAGCCTGCTCTCATTAGTGTGATTTATAGTCTCGCCAATTTTCAGTAAACCAGAGGAGCTGTATTCCAATTTATTCGGGTCAAATTAACCATTCCTAATTAGAAACAGTAACCTTTCCGGCTCCCCGCTCCTTTGCTGAATGTGCCGTACATGCAATGCAAATGTTCATTGTTTAATCACTGGCAGTCATTATGGAGGTTATGTAAGAATCACCCCATGCAGGTCAAAAGTTTAGCCTGAATCAATCTCCTAATTGTTAATAGCCAATGGGCTGATTTATTGCCGTGTGATGAAGGTGAAGGCTCGCCCTTTCCTCTGAGGGTGGCACCCACCCTATGGAGCTCCTCTGCCTTTGTTGCAGGGTCAAAATCCTGCAGCATTAATTCAACCTGTATGAGTCATTTAGGAGTTAATTACTTTGTTTTACTTTATTTATCAGGGATGGTGCACAATATTTGACATCTTATTCCCAAAATATGCCAGAACAATAAATTATAACAATTTAAAAAACACCAAATCAAACTTTATAAAAACATATACTGTCAAACGAATGTCATAGGTGCATGATGCATCAATACTTCAGTGAATGAGAATAAACATTCAGAGGACAGCAGAATACATCATTAATAGCAAATTGAAGTGGTACATTACCCACTGAAATGAGAAGCAGGCACTTAAAAAGACCATCAAACAAAGTGATTCTTACACATCAGCAGGTTTCAAACTGAATTAATAACTGTGATTATTAATAGATGTTTAAGAAAATATGTTTTTTACCACCTTGTGTTGTGCTTCTGCACGATGGATTTAAAATTTGAATTTGAGACATTCCTGCTCTTTAGACTTTTAAACAACCAGATGCATTGTGGGACTAATTTTTCACATATACTTGCTATTTACTACACATATTACTGGAGCATTCCACAGCAGAACTCAGACTATGTAGAATTTCTGGATTTGCTTTCTGTAAATACAAAAACATGGCAACCCTTGAGGAGGTTATTTTTGAGATCAAGGCAAAAAAAGGGGTCGTAGAACTTCATCATGTCTTCAAAGGTTCAGCCATTGTTGTCCGTATCGTTCGTGTGCATCTTGCAGACTAGTTGTGTTAATTTCTAACAACATGCACAACCACGGCATCAAGCAGACGCAGCCATGACGCGTTTTTGTCCGCATAGTTAAAACCAGGTCTTTCTGTTCTAAACATGTTAAAAAAAAATTTTTTTTTAATGTTCTTGAATGTCCTGACCTCTATTAGCCGATCATATGTTTCACTGTTGAAGACTCGTGGCTGCAGCACAGACCTGGCACAGCTGCACCATCGAATAAACGAAGTGTCTGCTGAAATCTACGGGTCATGAATTAGGATCTGACACCAAATTGGTTTGGGTGACGTGTCGCTGTATAAAATGAAAGGATATAAATTTGTTCACCATCAGAGCCACTTTATCATCTCTGGCTTCATTTGACGATTGTAGGCAGTGTTGCAAATGAAAGAGCAGGATTGTTTTATAGCATTATTGAAATCAGAACTGATGAAGTGTGTCTGTCAGCGTGTCATGTATTTAATTTGATGGATTAGCCTAAAGCAGACATCCCCATCTGGATATTTTATTTCATCACATCACAATAAAACATCGCATGTACTTTTATATGGATTTCATCCATATTGTACGCTGCTGTTTCTGAACAGAGCTACAGCTGATGAAGTGTTCATCTGTTGTGGATTTCGAACAACCTTAAATAACCACACTTTATCCTCACAGTCATTGTTTCCTGTACAATATTTTATTATAATAAGGTTTTTATATCACTTTGTGAATATTTCACCACTTGGCTTTAAAGCAAAGCGTTTGGCAGCGACTTTAACACGTGTAACAGGATCTAGTTTGACTCAGAGCACTTCAGGCAGCCTGCATCCTAAATAAGGACTTCAGGATTAACCAGCAGAAGCCTGTGTGACAGTGTGATAGACAGCACTCCTCACTCCGCTCTTGATTACTGCTGTGCTCTAATGCGGTTTACTCTGCTTTAATAATGTCTGGTCAGATCTGGTCTTGTCCCAACACACTGGTTTTGCACTGACATGTCACAGGGGGAGTGGGGNGGGGGGCGGTATGACGGCGGGGTTCGACGCTGTTGGACTCGAGGCGTCCGGCTGTCATTTACTCAAGATCATTAAAAAATAAATCGCAGCAGAAAGAGAGGAGAGGAAAGAAGGGGTTGGGTGGAGCGAGCGAGAGGGCCGAGGGAGGGAAGGAGAGAGAGATGGCAGGTTTGTTGGCGTCTGCTGGTCCTGCTGTCTTCACTCTCTCAGCTGTCTGTCGGGATCTGGACTGTTTCCCCAAGAGGCGGCCGCTGCCAAACATAATCACAACAGAAAAACAAGCGGAATGAGAGAGGAGCGAAGGAGCAGGAGAGAAAAGGGAAACTAAGAGCGAAGCAGGAAGGGAACCACAGAGTGCAGATTTAAAAAAAAAAAAAAGAGACAGTGAAGGTAACTGCTGCCATTCCTCCATCCTCTCCCGTGATATTCAGAATTCAATTAGTGCATGTGTTCCTCAGTGACAGAGGCCCAGTTATTAGAAGTATCATCAGTGAGGAACCAAGACACAAGTGATATTTTATTAACCTAGGGCCTGGCTGCCTGTATTCAGCAAATAATGGCTCCATTTCTTTCAGTCCTTAAAACTATTTTTTTTTTGTGTTGGACAACCTGAAAGATTGTTGCTGTTTGCCATCATGCACTGTGGTTAAGAAAAAAAAAATGTTGGAAAGATGACTCAGCAAAATATAAGTTATCCTTAAAAGCATAAAAACGCTACTGAGCTGTTTGATGAACACAAAGGTTCATGTGCTGAGTCCTCCGGCTTGTTCATCTATCCGTCCCATTGTTGTGAACACTATATCACGAGAACTCCTGAAGGGAATTTCTTCAAATTTGGTGCAAACGTTCAGTTGAAATCAACGATGAACTGATTTGATTTGTGTGGTCAAAGGTCAAAGGTCATGGCTGTGTCACACATGTTTTTGGACTCTTGAACATGGCATCTCAAGTTGCCTTGACCCAAAGATCTATCACTCATATAGGTCTGGAAAAAAATTAATGTAGATTGAAAAGTTTCACGCAGCATAATTCATTCGTACTTTTTAACAATGACGCAGCCTTACCTTTTAATTTGTTGGGCAATGATGCAGAAGTAAATAGGAGAAGTTTGGATTCGTGTTTGAGGCAGTCAATTTGTGTGATGGAGTTGGAGCATGAGTGTCCACAGTCACGGTAGACCAACAGTTCGTGTACCAGGAGACTAAAAACACTGAGTCATGTTCGTCTGGTGGAGACGAGCGTCACATCGCATTTTGAGTGTCTTATTTTTCACATCCATCTGTTGTGGTATCGTCAAGGTGGAAAATACATTATATCTGCAAACATTCTTGGCCCGCCGCTTTGTGCCATATGGTTCTTTACCGAGACGTCCTCCAATCAAGGCGGAATTGCATACAGATGAATTTCTGCAAGATGTTGAGGATAAAAACAGATTCTGAGAAACAGAGGGGTGATGGATGGTATGAGGCAGATGCCTTTATTCATATCTGAGATAGCTTGGCCCATTTACAGTGATTATTTAAACCTTAAAGCAGACAGTGAACGAAACATGCCCTTGAGTCCAGCTCCTCCAGTTTTTTTAATTGAGCTGTCACGGCTGGCTTGACGTTTGAGCAGAGAGATTTACAAGCACCATTTAGGGCAGGATTGATTTCTGTCTGAAGGCAGCTCAGGGGAAAGATTGGTGAAAAATGTGTATATATAACCCCTTCTTTGATTGATTGATGCTTTCTTTCCATTTTTGGTTTGCCCTTTCTGTCTGCATCTCTATATTGTTTGACCTCCTATAGTACAATCCAGTATATTTGCTGCTTTAGCTCATGAAACTGATTTGTTGACATCATCCTCTCTCGGGAGATGTACTGTGTCTCTGCGGCTTCGGAGCTGCCAACAGCTCCGACTCTTTCTGCAAGATTTTTAAATTGTTTATTTTAAACTCCTGCATCGTGTAATTTAGGCACCGGCAGTAAACTGGACAGATTATTGGATAAAGCAGTATCTTAAATCCCCTTGTAGGCATTATGAATTTTGTGTGGTGAAATGTTGAGCATAATTGCAATTTTAGGGGAATTGCTGTGTTTTGCCAGAAGGCTTTATGACCGCACATGTTACGAAGGGCTGATTTAATTCCTTTTTCATTCCTCACAGTTGAAGTCTTTCTCTGCAGGGTAACATTCTGTCTAATGACTGCGGATAAGATGTAAAATAAAAAAAGTGGGTGAAAACAGAAAAGTAAGGGGAAATAGAAATAGAAAACCCTGGTATGGGTGAGATGTGTTATGATGAAGAGTCCTGAAGGGAAACATTTCAGTGTGGAGCATGTGGCATCGGCAGATGTCGCGTTTGATGGTGACGGCTAATGGTTCCATTTTCTTTTGATCTTTGTTGAGTATTTAATTGCGTTCTGAAGCAGCAGTCTTGCATTTACCTGATGCTGTGCACAAGGTGATTAAGTCTGAACCTGTGTCTCTCTTTGTCTCTGCAGAGCACCTAAAGGCAGCGCTTGAGGAGTACATGGTGCGGCTGCCGAAGGTTCGTATCCTGAGGACGAAGAAGAGGGAGGGACTGATCAGGACTCGGCTGCTGGGAGCCGCCGCCGCTAAAGGAGACGTCATCACTTTCCTTGACTCTCACTGTGAGGCCAATGTCAATTGGCTGCCTCCGCTGCTGGGTGAGGAGCACAGGCCTTTACCCCCCCCCCAGTTTTCTGAAGTTTGTCGTTTGTTCACAGCTTCTGCAGAAGATGAACAACATAACCAAACATTGCATTGACCACATGCAACACACAGGAGTTAGCAGTCAACCTTCACCCCTTACAGCACACACAGAACATACAATTAAGTGTGTGTAATTAATTAATGGTTAATTCAATTTAAGGGACTTTTGCACCTTGTTATTTGCTCGACTGAGTGGACCTCTAGTTTCTTACTTTTTTCTTTCTAGGAAGAATTTTTCAGAATGGCAGAGAGACGCGAACATCAGCCTTTCTTTAAACACTTTGCAGCTCTTAAATATCTGCAGTTTGTGAGGAAAAGTGTTTGATTATTCTTTGGTTTTAAAAGATGATTTGCTTCAACATCTGTTAACACCATCCTCCATCTTTATATCTCAGACCGAATCGCCCAGAACAGGAAGATCATCGTGTGTCCGATGATTGACGTGATCGACCACGACAACTTTGGCTATGAGACTCAGGCGGGAGACGCCATGCGAGGAGCGTTTGACTGGGAAATGTACTACAAACGAATCCCCATCCCTGCAGAGCTGCAGAAGGACGACCCCAGTGAACCCTTCGAGTGAGTGCAGTGATTGCCATATTGGACATTTGTTGCGTGATTGCATCCTGATTGTCTTATTGTGGCACAACTGCACACATCTGCATCACGAGTGGCCACTGCGGCTTCAGCTGGGGACACTCACGCCATGTTTTTTTGAATGAGCTACACGGGGCCTTGCATTACTTAATGTCCTCAGAGGGATCATGCCTTTGTCAACACTGCCGTGCCTCCACAGCCATACAAGCGTGGGAAAGGGATTGAGAGCCACTGATTTAAATAAAGTCATAGAATTGAAGGTTAAATTACTGTACGACATTAGATCTCCTGGTATTACTACTCCAGTGCAAACAGGACTGATAGCTTCTGACCACAGTGACCTTCTTGGCCACTCGGCAGCACAGGTAGATAACCTTTAAGTAATGGAAGCCAGAATAAATAAACTTTTCACAGAGTCAGACTTTGCTATTAAGGCCAAATAACTCTGCATGTGATGCCAGCCGCTCCATTTGTGAGCATCGAGGGATTAGTTTGACAACGTTTCTCTGTGTTTGGATGCCAAGGACCATTTGTGTGTCCTAGGAGATACAGTAGGTATCATCAGGGGGGAGCAGGGGGGGCGGCTGTGGTGCAGGAAGATAAGAGACTAAAGAAGAAGGAATGAGCTGCTGAACAATCAGAATCAATCCTCATTTGGTGAATTAGTCTGCTCTTCTTGCCCAATGAAATGACCTTCATCAGTGCAAATCTAATTTGAGTCGCAAAGATTTTCATTTTCATTCTGATTGACATTGCCGCAGCGGAGAATGAGGCACGGTAGGATGGCAAAATCCATCTCAGAGGTGTGTGTGTGTGTGTGTGTGTGTGTGTGTGTGTGTGTGGTGTGTGGTGTGTGTGTGTGTGTGTGGTGTGTGTGTGTGTGTGTGTGTGAGAATGATTTTATCCTCATGCCTCTCTCACTGTCTCTTTTGTCGGTGCCATCACCTCTCTTTCTCTTTCTCTCTCTCTTTCTCTCTTCCTCTTTCTCTCTCTGTTTCTCTCTCTATCTCTTTTTCTCTCTCTTTCTTTCTCACTTTGTCTCTCTCATCCCTCCTTCGGGCTTCAATGTTTCATTTAGCGATGAGCTAACTCCGCGTCTTCCCAAGGTCAATAGACTCAAATGGACAATTAAACCATATATTGATCAATAAATTAGAACGGACTGTGCAGCATATCAGTGTTAAGTAGAAAACCGTCCCCATATAAAAAAATACATATTATACAAAACAAAGAATAATTAAGTCTGAGAATCTGACAATAATGAAACAGTCCTGAGGTCAGATGTGCAGCCCCCTGAGATTGATCAACCCGGTATTTTTCTTTGATTGTGTTGTATTGTTCCTGTTGTTTTCAGAGCTGTTGAGGTCAGTTCAGTCAGTGCTTGTCGATATTAATTCTGTCGAGCTACACACACCGGCTGCAAGTAGAAGTCTGCAGTTGTATTGTATTGCAAATCCAATTTACCATTGTGTTTCCAATAAGCTTTTATTTTTTGAAAGAAAATAAATAAAGTTTAACATCAAAATGGTTGAGAAGGTAATTATAACCATTCAGAGCTGCACAATCCTCTTGGTAGTTGTTTACTCAACGAGTGGCTCAAAAATGTTGCTTGTTGCCGCCATCGCTCAGGTCGATTTTGAGCTTGTATCCCACTGTGTGTTTGAATTAATAATCAGAAGGAATCTGTATGTAGCTCTGATACAACCAGACAGGCTTTCCACTGTAGAGTGTGTTTGTGTTCACTGTCGAGTATCACAGTTGGCATCTTACTGACTGACTAAGAGAAAAGGACTTGTGAGGACTCATGGCTCTGTGAGGGTGAACGTACGCAAACCATTGCTTTGAGTTAAATCCCTACATGCACCCGATGACAATGCTAACATTCTAATGGTTGGTAATGTGTTCTCCAGGTTGAAATCAGTTTTGTCGTGTTGTTCACCCTCATCAACCTCTTCACACCACTATCTTTATCACTCTCTATTCAACTTCTTTACAACGCAACCTTTCAACCCAGAGCAATGAAGGCTCCAACTGGTGGATCCCTCTCAGGCCAACATATCCCAGAATTCATTGTGCTTTGGTGACAAATTGTTTTTCAAAGAGATAATTGTGTTGGCAAGTGACAAAACCAAAACGTCTGATGACTACATGGTCAAATGTAAGCATCAGGCTTGAGCTTAACCGAACATGTTGAAGAACCAAAGCGTCTTAAAATCCACTGGTCATGTCCAAGTGCTGCTCTGTTACCAGGCGACAGGGGCGTGGGTGGGACAAGCTGGTGGCGCGAATCCTCCGTCGACAAAAACATCTCATTTCCGTTCCGCCGTCACAGCCTTCAAAGTGTCCCCTGAATTGAGACACAGCTTTGGCCGAAACATTTTACATTAAGGCCATTGAGTCAAGTGATTTAATAAAAATGCCCACACTCATTGGTTTGTCAACATGCCATATTGTGTACACTGCAGTTATTTAAAATATATAATATATCACAGGCCTGCCATTGTCTTAAAATGAACTTAACTGCCTCCCAGGCAAACAATCTGTCCACAAAATTACAGTTCCCCAGCTAAACAAAGGTGTTGCTTAGCAACAGATGGAGCATCAGCGTGCATTGGAGTCAACACATTACCATTTTAAATGAAGTGTGGTTTAGCTTCAGGTGTGATCATCCAGTTTTGAATAGTAGTTCACTGAGAAAGAGGATAACAATATTAGGGAGTAAAACTAAAATAAATAAAAAATAAAAGCAATGATTTCTTTTTTCTGCAGATTTCTTTTTTTTTCTACAGATATTAACATGTCAGTGAAACACATTTTTTTAAATTGGGAATAATAAATCGGTCGAACTCTATTTACAGTGTTAATTGCAGCCTCTCAGCTTTAGTCTTTGCTCACGAGCTCATGAAAGCACCCGCAGCTTTCAAATGGAAAAGCTACCGACACAGTAGTTTCTGTGTTTTAATATAACCTGTCTCTTTATTCTCTCTGTTCTCTTTTGTCCACTTATAAATCAGTGTCAGCTCCTGCTGTGACAGTGATTCATGTCTATGCTACCACAAAAGCCTTAAAGACATAGAAATCAAATCAAATGTTTATTATCTGAAATACATAGGTTCCTCAAGTCATCATATCAGGCCCCAGATCTAATATTTTGCTGAAAAAGCTAAATCAGTGAAGTGGAACATGCCCGAGGCCGTGATCCCACTGAGTTCAACCTGAGCTTGTTGTGGTTAAATGATCAGCAGCTTCAGTTCTGAGTTTATCTTTGCTGTGTGTCCTGAAGCCAGTATATTTAATTCAGCTCCAGGGAGGCGAGGTGTGTTTGTTTCCCTGCGGCAAACACCAACTTAACAATCTCCTCCCCACAAATCACGGCCCGCACAGGGTCTGTGCTCTCTCTGCTAAGCTCGCACACTTCACTGACCATACAACATACGGCAATCACGAGATTTTGTGCAATCAATCGCACACAAACGCAACACACACACACAGATTTGTCTGCCCCAACAGATAAACAACAGCGTTGTTTGTCCTTTGTCACCTCATGAAAGTTTTCATCCAGCACCACTCCAAGAAAGCAGAGTGTGTGTATGTGTGTGTATGTGTGTGTGTTTATTTTGTGCAGCACACAACAGTCACCAGTCATGGACGATGAGCTGCTCAGAGAATGTTTCCCATTCAGGCGAGTCGCATTCAGTCAGTGTGTCCACAGGGAGACAGAAGAAAAAGAAGTGAAATATTACACATCTCATCTTTTCTTTTAGTGGAAGTCACAAAGTTTGATGTGATGTTTATTTTCAGGATCTACACACAAGTCTTAAAAATCACACTATGTGTTATTCTTAAATAAAAGCTTTAAACCTGTTATTTAAACCTAAATTCACAAGTCACAGAAATACTCTTTGCACTTCACACTCTGATTACCCATCAGTTTTTCAGTAATAACTTAAATTGTCATTCTATTGTTCCTTATTGTGTGTGTGTGTGTGTGTGCCTTATTTGTATCTTCCAGGTCTCCAGTGATGGCAGGCGGACTGTTCGCCGTGGACAGGAAGTGGTTCTGGGAACTGGGAGGATATGACACGGGTCTGGAGATCTGGGGAGGAGAACAGTACGAGATCTCGTTCAAGGTAAAACCTTATTTCAATACAACATTTAAGCTTGAACACACGGCAGAATAAGACAAGAATGATGCAATGTAGTAAAATGCACAATTTACTGCATGTGAATTTAGTAATAAGTCTTTAAATGTACACAGGTCTAGTATGAAGTAGCTATAGTCAATGTTACAAGAATGTCCTAGACATCTTCTTATCTATCTCATTCTCAGTCCAGAGATTATGATAAATACCCAGTTCTTCTCACAAGGCTTTAATGGCGTCGCTGTGCTCTTCTGCTCATATTAACCAGTTTTATTCAGCTTTATTTTAAAGCACAGACTGGGACTTGCAGCACATATTTTATGATGTGAAGATGAATTATGTTCAGTTTTCCCCCAGAGCTCTTTTCACTTTACTTGCGATCGCTGGTTCTGAGCTCAGCTGCATCCAAAACAACATGCGCTATATTTTGACATTAACTTGCTCTCAGCGCTGTCCCATGTGTTTGTCCTAATGTGTTGTTTATCCACAGGTAAACACATAAAAGACTTGAGAAAATGAGACATTCCTCATTATAGTTTCCATCCATGTCTCTGTGGTTTGGGCCAAACACACTCTTGTTGCATCAGAGACACATTAATCTACTCAGAATTCCATATTAAATTCAGCTTTTGTCTGCTGCTTCAGCAGGAATTATTCTACAGTGAAGCCATAACTGTGTGTGACTTGGCCGGCCTGTCCCCCTCCTCTCCGCTGCCTCTTGTCACTGAGCTCCGGACAGACAGAGCAACCCGTCACAATAATTGAATTCTGCTTTGATTGACTAAGGACTTTTGGCGTCTCACTCAATTAAGCACAAAGGCCACTGCAGGCTGGTTAGATTTGATTGGACATATGCTGCAGTGTGATACCACCACGAGTTTTCAATAAAAGGGACATTTCCAGTGTAGTAGCTTTTGTTGGTTGATGAAGATTGAACAGCCAAATTAAAATTTACTGTCAGGATGGTTTCACCTTCTGCTTGATATTAATTATCACTTTATTTTGCTAACTGTTACTGAAAAATAGAAATTACACATTAAGGATATGATGTTGGTACATTTGCTGATTTGCACATAACAAAATAATTCCACAGAGGCAACAGCAGGAGTTTAACAGAGCAGTTTGAGAGCGGAAAAACAGAAGGAGCCATTAAAGATGAAAATTGTATGAAAGTATGATTTAAAAAACATGCAGTGCTAATTGTTTGATACAACTAGAAATAAAAAAAGTAAAGACTCCAAACAAGATAAGTCCAAATCTACCCTCTTGTCTTCATAGGTTCAGTTTGTAGGATTTAGAGAAGACAATCAGGGTGTGTTTTGCAAAGTGAATAAATGTCAGTGTTGTGCTCCTGTGTGTTCACTCTGACATGTAACAGAGCTGGAGTTACGGGTACACAGAATAAAGAAAAGGAAAACTGCCTCGAATACCAATCAGATTAAACTGTCTGTGCTTTGCTGGGTCATAGCTATATTCTTTAGCATGTTATCACCACCAGCTGTTCGTCACTGGAATACCACCTGAAACCATCTGCAGGATTATGTGTTGCCGTGCCACCATAAACAAAAAAAAAAACTATACAGGGGGAACTTTCTGAGTACGCACGGCCAAAAATATTTTTTACCTACATACTATTTTTAACAGGATCATCTCTAGCTTCTAACCTGGGGAATGTACGAGAGAATGCAGAAGCCAATGCTGATGTTGATCTGCTTGCGTGAATGCTCCAGAGAGTTTCGTGTTGTGGAAGTGTCTCAGTGAATCTCCTGCTGTGTTCTTAATATGTGAAAACTCTAGAGAAGGTCCAGGTTCCAATTGTCTGGACATTTTCTGGAGTTCATGTCTGAAAACGTCTATAGAGACTCCCCTTGTGCTCCTGGTGCTGTGGTTGTGGTGTTCATGTTTGGAGGTGAGCAGATTGTAGAAGTCATGTGTTAGAGTTGAGTGATAAGACTTTCAATTTAATCTGACTGGCGCTGACTCAAGCTCTTGATCCCCCCTGCAGCCAGACGCCCCGGTTATTAAACTCAAGTGTTTCAGTGCAGGGATGAAGAGGAGGGAAGGGAATGGTGCAGCGGGTCACACCGCCCAACAGCCAGATGCGGAAAGGGCGGATTCAATCTGTTATTTCCCCAGATTCTGTTTGTACAAGCTGGCGTGGTGCAACAAAACCTGACAAGGTGTAATTGAATTGAAACAGCAGGCAGCTGATGTCCACTCTGGAGAATCTTGAAGTGAGACCAATGCGGAATATGAACAAACAGACCAGAAATTAGCAAATAAAAAATAAGGTAGTGAATCAGTCGAGAGAAGAGCATTTCCCTGATTACTGATGCCTAAGTTTCACCATCCTCTTCGTCCTCCTTCGTCCTCCTCGACATAGACACTCAACTCAAGCCAAGGACTGGAAGTCATTGTGGAGTACCCACACCGAATTTCAGCACGTTTCGAGCAAGCAGCGCAGAGTTATTCACCCTTTAGTGAATATGGGTTAGGGTTGTTATTTGGTTTAGGGTTGTGATAAAGGGATGGAAACCTATTGGAGATCAAGATATTCTTCAATAACTTTTTTTCTGAAGATCATAGTGACTTGGAAGTTGGTTCCATCTCCACTAATGTGGCATCTCCCCTTCTATGACCTTCGGAAATGGTGAAACCACCAAATCTAAAAGAAAAAATACAAGATATTTTTGAATAACTTTTTTTCCGAAAGTCATAGAGACTTGGGCATTTCATGGTTAATAAAGGGTAGCCTGCTACGCAACCACACCAAATTTCAGCATGTTTCGAGCAAGCAGCGCGGAGTTATTCACCCTATAG